TGTTTGACTGACGAAGCAATTTTATACCGCTACATTAGCTTGCTTATGATATAACTATACTAATGCTTATGTCTTATTGTGAATATAAAAGGTATTTATTCCAACTTAAATGTAACTCAAACAATGAGGGTGTATTTCAAACTTTTTAAAATGTGATCTGTAAAATTGGTATTTGTTTGCAAAACACTTTTTTTTCAATATTTAAGTATGTTTATAATATTTGAGCAATACTTGAATGCAATCTGAGCAATTACTTAAGTGTAATTACCTTATATTATATATACGCAAGTTGGTGTAAACTATATTTACAACAATTAACCAAAATAATTTTGAATTCACTTCAAGGTTTCAAATAAATAAATTTATTATCAAATGAAGATTGTTTTATTAAAATTGTATAAACGAAAATCTACTAAGTATATGTATGTATGTATGTATATATAAAATGGAAATATACTAAATGCGTCATTAACATATATTGTAATGTCAATGACAAGTAAAAAATCATATAGTACTAATGTATTATAAATCAAATCATAGTTAGTGGTGTGTAAGCTGGGAGTATACAAGTACAATATAACGATCAGTAAACCTCCCGTGTATACTATTATGTGTATTATATACAAATAGCTCCAAGAATAAGAATTTGTACAGATACCAATGAAGTGTTCATATGTATATTTAGGTTTTTCTTATCTCAATTCAAAAATGTTTACGCGCACACATGCATATGTAGTTATGTATTTAGGCACTTAGACAAACTCTTTAAGGTTAAATTTAAAGAATTATTGCTACCCATAAAATATACAAAAAGGACGAAATAAATTAGGGAACAAAGGTACAAACTTTCGTTAATTTAAGGTTAGTGAGAATGTAGTGTTTGTTTTAAGTTTTCATCATTCGTTCTTCAACTACATTCATACCATTTGAAGGCACAAGAGTGAAACAGCAAATCCATAATATATTGGGAATTTACTTATTGTGCCTGTATTTTTTTTTCTCAGCTACTCAAATGTCCCGGATGCCGCTCACGGTTTTATATACACTCGTCTAATCTGCTCACAGGTTTTGTTAGTGTCCATCATAAAATATGTAAATACGTTCCACTATTATCAATGCTTTATTCACATTAACAAGCGTATATATTATTTTACCGTTGTTTCACTCGTTTAGTTATATTATTGATACTCGATACATAACGATGTAGTTTGAGATAGATATTAATAATATTTGTTCCCTCTGAGAGGTAAATGTTAGAAAGCATGTCCCGACTTCGGGGTTAAAATGGGAATGTACGGATTAAGAAAATATATGTACATACAAGTATTTAGTACTGAGTTATGATTTTTGTAATATTTGCATTTAAAGTTTAAAAATTCAACTATTTAAAGTGCGTTTTGATTAGAATTACAATGAATCTTACACTTTTATTTTTAACTTTTATATTATATATACTAACACTTCACTTACTCGTTTCTACACATTAATTTTATATTAAAAATAACTTTACTAAAAAAAAGAATATTCTGACATAGTTAGCGTTACTCATCACACGATTATACATTTTGTATTGACGGTATAATCCTTTTTATACTCTCAACAAGGTATATTAAGTTTGTCACTAAGTTTGTAACACCCAGAATAAAACGTCGTAGACCCTGTAAAGTATATAAATAAATGATCAGCATGTGAGCCGAGTTGATTTAGCCAATTCCGTCTGTCAGATCCGAAGAAATTGTTTAGATCGGATGTCTATAGCATATGGCTGCCATATTAACTGAACGATCGGAGTAAAGGGCTTGCATGGAAAACTTTTCCATTTGGTAAAATATATTCACGAAATTTAGCATGGGTTATTGTCAAAGGCAATAATACAATCTTCGAAGAAACTGTTCAGATCAGATTACTATAGCATACAGCTGCCATACAAACTGAACAATCGGAATCAAGTGCTTGTATGGAGAACTCTTTCATTTGACGTGGTATCATCAAGAAATTTGGCATGGATTATTGACTAAAGCAATAATGCAATCTCCGAAGAAATTGTATAGATCAAATGACTATAGTATATAGCTGCCATATTAATTGAACGATCGGAATAAAGTGCTTGCATGGAAAATTTTTTAATATGTCGAGATATAGGTATTTACGAAATTAAATCGGAATCAACTTCTTGTAAGGAACCTTTGTATTTGTAAAGAGCTTCGGTGCAACCGAAGTTAAGGTTTTTCTTGTTTTTATTTGCTATTATTCGTTTGAAATATACGGTTACACTAATTTTTTGTTTGCATGCTATGTGACCATTTTGCTATTGTATGAACAAACGGATTTCAATATCGAATTAAAGTTAGTTTGGCCTTTAGTGGAGTGGTAATGAATATAGAAATTAAAAATATAAGTATAAAATTCATTATAAATCAAAGAAACAAGACCTTTAAATGGTTGAATTTTTAAACTTTAAATGCAAATTTGGAGAACTTCCTCTACCCGTACCTACCCATTTTAACCCTGAGTTTGGTGGATGCTATTCTAAATCATAAAACCTCTGAGTTAAGGAATTAGTAAAGATTTAAAGCACTATTAACCTTTAAACAAATTTAAATATTTAAAATTGCATATATTGCCAGTTAACATATATACTTTTAACACATTCGCTGCCAAGCCTAAATTATATGAAGTCATTCCCATTCCCATTGCGAATCACAGGGAATGATACTACGCATACAAATTTATTGCGGAAAATCTGAAATTCGGACAGACCAGCGGAATCACAGTACTTCGGTTGTGTTTTCCCTTATGGACGGGTTTCTAGATATTGGTCATGTTTTGTATATGGACAATTTTTACAACTCCGTATCGCTGGCAAAAGAGTTAACATCTAGGTATATATATATATATAGGAATATCTTGATGCTATTCCTGCCACACAACACAAGAAAACCCCAACCCGCAAATGTAGAGTTTGTGCAACGAAAAGCATTCGAAAGGAGACTCGGTATTACTGTCCAAGCTGTCCTGATAAACCTCCACTTTGCATTGGACTTTGTTATAAATCCTATCATGAAGATAAGGTATCATAAGTGATTTAGTTGCTATAAGATTTTGTAATAAATACACGATGAAGTTGATTTTTGTAATAAATGATTTTGTAATAAATACACGATGAAGTCGCTTTTTGCGTAAAAGATCTTTCTCTATAAGAAATAATGTATTATTTAAAAAAAAAAGTTGTATTTTTCAAGTTTTTTACATATTTATATTATGTTTGTGGCAAAAAAAAATTTGCTAATTCAAAAGCCTGCATGTTATAATATACATATCTAAAGTGGGACGAGTATACTCGTCTTGGCAGTGCGGGACACCTTGCTAAAGACGAGTATACTCGTCCTTGGCAGCGAATGGGTTAATATACTATAAGAACAAATATCTTTTCAGTAATTCGTGGCTAACGTTAGAACTTTAACGGAAAATAAAAAACGTAAGCTTGCTTTTTATATGCACGTGTAAAAGTATGTTGTAATTGTACCAATTTTATGTCATGTATATAGGCATATGATTTATTAAAAGTATATTTTTAATATTCTCTTAAGACGATATATACATATGTAGATATACCCTTTATATCTTCATATTTTTCCTCAATATATAATATATCGCGGGAAAACTTTAGTTAAGCATCCCACGATTTCAGGGTTAAGAGGGGTATGGTTGGATAGAGGAGATTCTCCAGATCACGAATATATATAATTATTGTCGCCGGAAACTTATAGTTTTCGAGATATTTGCATTTTAAGTTGAAAATTTCACAATTTTCATTTTACAATTTCTCGATTTATGGTTATCTTTTCTTTTATATTAGGCACTTATTACACACTAACACTTCACTACAATGTATCTACATATTTATTTTATATTAAATATTTAAGTATTTGCTTTAAATAAGCATTTTAATTTTAAACAATTTTCGTAATATGAACAATAACAAATGGGTTCCATGTTATCAGATAATAAGTGTTGCCATATCCCAACGGATGAAAGCAATCAAAATAAATAAAAAACCCAATCACCCTCTACAAAATATTATGAACTTAATTTTAATAAAAGAAAAAGGTTTTATGGCTTAAACGTATATTATATTGCATCTGATAATTTCACAAATGGATCATAATGCTGATTTACTATATTTTTACGCCATATGTATTCATACATCAAATTTTCAAAATCTTCACTGTTATTATAATTATCCTTAATAAAAATTGAAGTTTATAGAGAGTGATATATTCTCTTTAACATTACTTTTTTTTTGTTAAGATTTCTTATTTGCACCTTCGGCCGCGCTTCAAAAAAATAACCCCGGTCGGTCCCACACCGGGGTGTACATAATTCAATCGCGTCAAACTTCTTTCCGCACTGGCGGCCTTCGGCCGCTCTTTAAAAAAATAACCCTGGCAAATCCAATACCATAATTTATCAATAGAAGGGGGGAATGAACAAAATTATAGCTCCTGGTTTTGGGGTATAATCCTCTTTTATTGTTCATTTTAATTCGCTTTCAAAATATATATATTTATATATATATATATATATAATAGATATGGCAAGACTTGTTAGTTGTCAACATGGAACCCATTTGTTATTGTTCATATAACGAAAATTGTGTAAAAATTAAATGCTTATTTAAAGCAAATACTTAAATATTTAATATAAAATAAATATGTAGAAACATTGAAGTGAAGTGTTAGTGTGTAAAATGCATAATATAAAAGAAAAGCTAACCATAAATCGGGAAATAGTAAAATGAAATTTGTGTAATTTTCAACTAAAAATGCAAATATCTTAAAAACTATAAGTTTCCGGCGGCAATAATTATATATATTCGTGATCTGGAGAATCTCCTCTATCCAACCATACCCCTCTTAACCCTGAAATCGTGGGATGCTAAACTAAAGCACACCCTATATCGCTTATAATGTTTCAAGTACTGCATTTATGTTACTTACCGCTTTAAAAATATCACCGCACTCAAAGTAAATTAATGAAGAATTGTTTGTACACTTCTGCTGTATAATAGCTGCAGACATTATCGAAAATAAATATCGTTATCCCAAGAGGTATAAAATATATAATTTATGGGGAGAAGCACGCTTTTCCCGTTGTTCACTATGGTACGGAATGAATACTCAATAGTTCCTCCAGGCAAAGGCACAAGTTAAAACAGAGATGTGTGTGCCTTTGATAACGTATTATGAGCCACTTTTTCGATTGCAATATTTAATTATTTTTAATTTGGTTTTCAATTGAGCGTCTAACTAAGCACAACAAAATAAACCACAATGAAAGTCGCAATTACAGCACAAAAATACACTTGATATAGCACATGGGCGAATATTGCTGTTTCGTTTATAATTATTCCAATGTATGTGTATATGTGTTATGTTTTATTTTGATTCTTATTTTCAGAAGTTCTCTTCTCTCGTACTAGTTTCTTATAGCGCTGTGGTTGGTGACGTCTTTTAGCTTCCATTTATTTCATATCGAATATTATCAGCCTGTTGCTGCGCCGATTCTCGTTTTTCTGGTGTAATCGTTTGTGTTGGTAGCGTTAATGGCGGCGCGAATTTATACTACAAATTGCTTGCAGGACAGTTATGTTGTGCGGTTTTTTGCGTACGAAACAGTACTATGTTTTGTGTACAGTTCTTTGTGTGGGTTTACAATTCTTCTCGTTACTATGTTATCTGATTCGGCCTACGGTTATATTTTTATTCGTTCACAGTATATTAAAATCTAAAACATGAATTTTAATCAAAACATTGGAAGCATTGATAAACTTAATTCAAACTTTAATATCCTTTAGACATTCTTTTAAAACCGTCAAAATATTTTTTCAAATTCTATAACACATGTATTGAATAAGAAAAAATATTTGAACACTACACAATGAACGGAGATCTAAATAAATTAATCCAATAACTATAGTTCCAATTATCTACACAAGGCACTTAAAAACAAATATGGCAATACAAAATAACATCAAGATAACACCAAGACACCAACCACACTCGTCAAACTCGATTAGAAGACTGAATAAAACCTTGCTTCAAATAAGCGCTACGGAAGTATAAATGTAATCGACTTTCGATATACTATTTAAAAATCTTATCAAAGAAACTACCAAACTGCAGGTTAGTATCTGCCGCCGTCACAAACATTTGCTATTCGAAATTATTACAAAATCAGATAGAATCAATTCGGACAAAAATAATATATAATGACAAATTAACAATTACAAGGGTTTCATTACTTTTAAAATTTTTGAGCTTTATATACAAATATCTCGTACACTATATGTCTAAGTCGAGTATGTGTGTGCACATTTCTAATCCCGAGAACCTCCTCTACTCGTCCATATTATCAAATCGCGAAGCCAAAGAAATCGTAAAAGTGCCAAAATTCAAAATTGTATGTACAAATCTTGTTATTTTTATGGAATAATGGCAAAATGAGTTTTAAATAAACAAAAACACTTTAATTAAACTAAATTAACTTACAGAGGAATATGACTTTCAACTAGTTAAATTAACACAATATAGGTCCTAAATGGTCCACGTTGATTGTCCTCGCTGTTGAGAGTTTCCGACTCACTTACACAAGGTTTTCAGAAGTGGTAACACAAATATGATGCATATCCCCACAAATACAACCAACAAAAGAAATTCAATGCACATAATTAGTACATGCAAAGTATGCTGAAGTTTCTGTGTAGATATACTTTTATCAGATTTGCTCACAAGAGATTTTAACGAAGATCAGTTGCAGAAATCCTGCATCTTGACATAACCGTTACTTTCTTCGTTCGTTGTTAAAATATTAATTGTTAAGCAAAGGAAAGAAAGTTGTATGCGAATCGGCCATTATAGATCTTCGTATTAATTAACGAAGACAAAACATGTGTCAATTACGATTCATTGCCGAAGCTCCATTCACCTAATAAGAGTTCTGTAATCAGTATTAAAATCGTTGTATAATGAGAATTTATAGCAACGTTGGTTAAAGACCAGAAGCCAGGGATAATGGGATGCCCAACTCTTTCCAGTGTGAGAGCTTCCTCAAAATTAGCGTTTTTTATAACATTTTCTATTGTAGCCAGATCGGACAAAATAATAATTTTTGGGCATTTAAATTATAATATCCAATTTGCAGTTTCCATACCACCCAGGAGGTATGCAAAATGGAGCGTTACCGAAGTTATTTTTGGGTGCTCGGTTCCCCAGTAGGCCTATATCACCCATTATAAATTTATTTGTATAAAAAAACAAAAGCAAAAAACAAAAGATAACAATTCACAGATAAATACATATAAAATAAAATTAACAAAAACAATATCACTTCATATCACAGATAAAATAAAATATTTAGTAATATAAAAATATACATATATACAAATGCCTACATTTAAACCCCAAATTCTAATTTTACTTATAAAAAATCGCATTATAATTTTAGTCTCTTTGTTCTAGCCCACTGTTTTTCAATCTTTTTGATTTCGCGACCCCATTTCAGGTTGAAATATTCTGGCGACCACCTTGTGTCATAGTAAGTCAAAGAAATACTTTAATGTTAATTAAAAGACTACATACGTTAGGTAATAAATTTTTCCTATTTTGGCAAATTTATCTATTATTCGCGCGGGTCATACTGCGTCGGCGACGGCGACGTTGCCACACCGCACGGCATGATTGTTCTTTGGTTTCAACTCTCATCACTCAGTTAAGCGTAGTCGCCTTCAGCATCTGGTACTAGTATCAATAGCGGTGGTGGTGAATCGAATCCGAAAAAAAATAGGCATTACGATGACAGTTATTTGAAATACGGGTTCACAGTCATAAATAATAAACCTCAATGTGTAATTTACGGCGATGTTTTATCACGTGAGAGTATGAAACCGTCAAAGCTTATGCGGCATCTCACAACCAAGCATCAAAAAGAAGCTGATAAGCCGTTGGATTTCTTTGAATGAAAGTTGAAAGCTCTTAGTCAGCAGCAAAATACTATAATTCAGGTAAGTAAGAAAATAATGAAAAAAGCGTGTTGTGCACTATAAATCAGCTCTTTAAACCCCTTTTTCACAATAATACTATTTTTCTTTATATATTTATTTTCCATATTAACAATTATTTTTTATTTTTTAGTTTACGTTATTGTCAAAGCGTGTTTTTTAGTTTTTTTATACTATATTTTTACTGTTGGTGTTTATTTCTTTGTTATTTGCATACAACTTTTGATTATACTTAATTTTGGTGTGCAAAGGTTTCGCGTCCTTAATTTTTATTGGCTGTTCACTTGTATATTGTTTGGTTTATTTTCAGGCATCCAGTGTCAACGAGTCAACATTATTAGCTAGCTACAAATTCACATATCGAGTTGCTGAAGCAGGGAAACCACATACAATTGCCGAAATCTTATTTTGCTAGCGGCACTCGATATGGTTGAAATTATGGTCAGTAAGCAGGAGGCAAACAAATTAAGAAAAATACCACTTTCTGACAATATTATTTCACGCAGAATAAACGATATGGCCAAGGATATTCAAGAACAAGTAGTTGAAAAATTAAAAAATAGCCAACATTTTGCTTTGCAGTTCGATGAATCTACAGATGTTTCCGACTGTGCACAGTTTTTAGTATTTGTGCGCTTTGAAGCAGATGACAGTATTACGGAAGAAATCTTATTTCGCAAAGCACTTCCTGCAAACACTACTGGCCAGTGTTTGTACGATATGTTTTTAGAAAGCACTTGCCACTACGATATTGATTGGAAAAAATCTATCGCTATTTGTAGCGATGGCGCTAAAGCTTTGACTGGCAAAAATAACGGACTCATTGCAAAATTAAAATCGATAATACCAAACATATCCTGGACACACTGTTTTCTTCATCGACAGGCTCTAGCTGCTAAGGTAGTACCTTCTGATTTACATGACGTGCTGAAGGAGGAAATAAAAATTGTGAATTCTATCAAAGGTAAAGCTTTGCAAGCCGGGCTATTCAGAATCGTTTGTGAAGATATGGGCTCGCTTCATCAAAATCTCCTTTATCACACAGAGGTCAGGTGGCTATCCAAACGAAAGGTATTGACAAGAGTTCTGTAACTGAGAGCTGAATTGTTAATGTTCTTACAAGATGCAAAATCAGAATATGCTTACCGTCCTTCTGACCCTATTTGGCTCTTGAAATTAGCATTTTTGGCAGATCTTTTTAGCCACCTTAACAATTTGAACAAGAACCTTTAAGGAAGAGAAGAAAATATTTTAACAGCTAAAGATAAAGTAAAAGCATTTTACGCAAAACTTCGTTTATGGTCGACCTCTCTGCAAAACAAAATGTTTGAGTATTTTCCGTGTGTTCAGAAGATTGTTGAAGATAATGCATCAGACCAAAGTTTTGCAGTATCGGCTCATATTCCCTGCATGATACAAAGCTTGCATAATTTACAAGAGAAACTTTTGGCATACTTTCCAGACTTGCACTCTGAAGCTGACAATGGGCGTAGATCAGCTGGCGACCCTCCGAGTAAGGCTTCGCGACCGCCTTAGGGCCAGATTGAAAAACACTGTTCTAGCCTATCTGTTTAAAAAATTTGTTTGGTATAATATGGTATATTAAGTTCACTTATTGTAACCACTAAAAAATAAATTTAAAAACCTATAGGTGTGAAACACACAAAATTTTATTTTTAAAATTAGGGACAGAAAGTTCTTTAATTAATAAAATAAATAAATTTAATTACAATATAAATTCTTATTCGAATGAAAAGGGCTTTAACTATTTTCGGGTCACAATTTTCACAACACATCATTTCATTAAAAAGAATGTCTCCTATTCCTATCTTATGACAATTACTATCGAATTCTTCTAAAAATTTTGTTTCCAAGACTTTTACAAATGCACCAAACTCCTGAGGCGGCTTTACTAAATTGCATTTGTCCATTTGATTTTGATAAATGAAGATGAATTCGTCCGAAGGAATTTCATCTCTTAAATAAGGTAATGGAAGGAAGCATGAGTGCATTTTGAAAATTTTTAAATAAAGATAGCCGCAAAAAGTTAATTTCTAAAGTACTATCTAAAGAAATTGATCTAATGAGGAAGTGTTCAGGCCGTGGTAAGCCTTGAAAATCCTGCCAAGAAAGGTCGTTCAAAAGTGAATCATTGCACACATTAAGTAGAACATTATTACTATGTTCTGAAATTACTGTAGCATCAGGTTCTAAAGGCAGCTCACATTTTCCTTTTGTTACGATATTTACGTAACGTAAACCCCACGATTTCCTAAATAAACTAAAGAACATGTAAGGCGTTACTCTAGTACCTCCTCTGCTTCTAATATGCCCAAAAAATTGTTCCAAACTGTACATACATATTCGTCTCGTCTTCAAGTATGGAAATCCTGAGTGTGACAAAAATCGCCACAACCGTCTTAAACTCTTTATATTTAATACCCATCCCTTTAAAAAACTAAAATTATTGGTTGTGTTGTTTTCTAACTCATCTATGACACGATTAGTTTTTAAAATTTTTTCGGCCCCATATAAAAACTCTAACTGTTCTGGGGAACCTACAAACACTTTTTAGTGGGTGCAATAGCCTCAACGAAACTGCTATTAAAAATGTCAAATAATTTATTAAAAAAAGAAACGAATTCCGCGGTATTAATAAAGCTCCCACTGTTCAAGCTTAAAGCTCCCGAGCTATAAAGGAACAACATACTAGAAGCGACCGTATTACTCAATACCTGAGATGCAAATTTAACCTTCATTTTTTTGAAGGTATTGGGATAAATATGAGCATCGGTTAATTTATGCGCACACCGATAACTTGACTTTGAGTCGATTTCATAAAAATGAATAACATCCGACCAACTTACGCGACAATTTTTAAAGAAAACCGTATTTTTCAAATTTTGTAAACAGTTACGACTACTTTTTATTAAATGGAGCCCCCATCGTATAAAAAATATATTTCCTTGCCATTAACATTAAAAAAAAGGCCGTTACGCTGAAACACTTAACAAATTAGCAAAATTCTGAAAATTGGTGCCCTGGTCGCATACAAAATGGCAAGGAATTAGTCCTATATTTTGGAGTTGAGTAATGACTTCAAGAATATATTTCTTGAGGACATCCTCTTTGCAGGCTCCTTTAACGAAAAAATAAGCTAATGGGTGGAACCAAGGCTCCCCACCTATACCTTGCACCATTATGGTCATTGCAGTTGTGGCTAATCTCGAAGTGCGATTTTCATCGCCATAATCTTCAATACCTATTATCCTATCGAATTTCCTATCATACTGCAAATGACATTTCAGTGACATTTCATCGCATGAAATCGACACGAACTTTTGTTCAAAAGAAAATCCCCTACTCCTAATCTCTAACGATTTTATGCTGCTTTAGGTGCAACCTGGGAAACGAGGTCAGTCGGTAACAAAATTTGCCAAAGTACTTTCGGAGGGAAAATCTAACTGGTGCTTTAAGTGACGATAAGCAACTGACGACAAAAAAAATACACCCAAAGCTATTGTTTTAAGAAAAATTGTCATAACGCCGACCGTGGTTACGGCGATTACTATTTATAAAACTACTTCGAATACAAGCACCTAACTTTGCTGCAAACTATCTCAAGAGGATCTGACTGTTCCCTAAATGAACCACTTCTTAACATTTCCCTACATCTTTCTAATTCAGTGGCCATTTGGACCAATTGAGCCTTTAAACTTCTATTCTCCTGTTCTTTTTCATCTAATTTTACTTTTAAAATCCTATTCTCTTCCCTCAATTTCTTCTTCCTATCTGTCCCTGCTGTCAGACCCCTACCTGTTTGCGCGGCTTTATCAGTACTGTTTAATAGTTCCTCCTCAAGAAGTGGAAGAGGCTCTAAAATTATTTCGCAATCTTCCCTTTCTAAAAGCGGAAGGAGCTGCCTCGATGCACCGTTTGCATTTGAGGCAGATTCTTCCATTTGGGGAGCGAAATCTTCAAAACCCAGTTCTATGGGGTTTTCAAAAAAAGAATTTGAGGCGTTAAATGTAGGCTCAACAATTAAATTAATGTCGGAAACGGCCCTCGGACGCAATTTTTTTGCGTGGCGCATTTTTTCGGAAAAATGTCGTTCACAAGCAAAAATGTGTTTAGGTGTTTCTTCATTAAATCTTTCAGAAACATCCAAAGAAAAAAAATTATATACGTATGTTATAAAATAATATATTTAATATAAAATATATATAATTATAATGGTGCAAAAAATGGCAAAACACGTAAACTTTTATTTTAATAAAGCCGTATCGATATTTAATTTAGTTAGTTATTTTATATTTATCATAAATATTCAACGATAAGTCGTTACTTCAAAATAATTTAAGAATGAAGTTTAGGCAAATCGTAAACTATCGAAACTCATATTTTAACACTTGTTACAATTATTTAAAACTTTTTTGATCACTTTTGCACTTAAATATATGCAGAACTACAATTTAAATTGTATTATTAATAGCACATCCAAAATAATTATTGATATGCGCACAGTCGTTACTTCAAAAAATTAATTATCTAAATTTTAATATGTCGAAAACTATCGAATTATATTTTAACACTATTTACAATTATGTAAACTTTTTTAAACACTCTTTGGGAATATTATCACAAATTTAACACACTTTTTGCACTATTTAATTAACTAATTTTTTGATTTACTCACCGTTCGAGATCCGTTCCCTCATTCGGAAAATTGAACACAAGTCCTTCCTCGCTGCAGCCAGCAACACTTTTCTTAAAATATACTTACATGTACACAAGCTGCGTGCTATTTTTCTTTTGTTATTCTTCGTAATAACGGCCGTTATAAATGAAGAGCAAAATATGAAAAATGTCTCCATTCGAATAATAATTTTTCAGGATTTCAATCTGGCCGTCCCTCTTTTTTCAATTGCTAAACGTCAGACCTACTGAACTTGACCTATTGCTTGAGTTCAGTAGGTTTTGACGTTTAGCAATTGCGCTCTCATTTCCAGTGAGAGACGAGTTGGGCATCTCTTTATCTCTGCCAGAAACAGTGCTAAAGACCAGAAAAAAGGTGAGTGCGCAGGTGGAACAAATAAGCATGGTCCTTCGAGCCATAGTGAGCGGCACAAGCGGTGTGGAGTGACACAAACATATATAAATTATTTTTGGGCACTTGTGTGCTTTATTGAGTCTGTTCTTAAACTGACTATTCTACCCTAATTTATTTCTATCCTAAGCTACAGCCATCACCGTCGTCGCCGCTGTCGTCGCTGCTGTTACGTTTGTTATTAGTATTCACCTGTGGGTATGTTGACTCAGCGATTCCCACGGTTTGAATTGTTTGTTATGACTGGATTCCACAAGTGGAAGTATCGGGTATCGTCCTCTATATTTTGCTAAGTTGCGGAAATGACTGCAACAATGTAGTCTAAACAATTTACATTTACGGAACATTAGACTGTGTTAACTCCTCCCCTCCTAAGTGAGGGTCGTCCGCGATCCTCTCAGTAATTTTTTCGTATAGCACGATCCATCATCTTTTTTGCGGAACGTTTTCCTTGGATGCTTAGGATCAGCCAGATCACTAGGAAGGTAGCAATGGTTGTCACTGCACCAACGAAAACCACTGTCTTTAAACTGACCTCTTGTCGCAAAGCCTCTCGTGATTTGCTGTGGTTGAGCAGTTTGCCGTTTCCCCCGCAATGAGTTGTTGCCCGCAAGTAATGGTTTTTAGCATTTTACAAAAGGTGGCAAGGGTTGATTTTTCGCATTTTACGGCATGTGTTTTGCTGCCGCATTCAGCAACGATGTTTGTGTCTCCAAAATGAAGTAACAGCCCCTGGTGTGGTACGGTGAATAGGCTAAGCTTTTTACAAAATATTTTAGGTATGGGATATTTTATTATGAAGTATAAATTGTCCTTATTTTGTAATACCTTAATTCTAGACATTCCTAATATTTATATTGTTGATACGTTAGTCGAGTGCTCGTTGATTATTTTGTTTATATCGCTACTGTCCAATATTACAGGACTAACTAAATTTAGTTTGGCTAATGTTATTGATATTGCGACAGCTTGCAGCTCTAGAGTTATTATCCTATTTCTTGCTAATATTGTTTCATATAGGTGGCCTGTATCTATTTCCTCTTTTTTAGTGGAAGTAATAATTTTGTTTATTTTATCTGTTATCTATAAAATCTTTTGCTGAATGTGGGTATTTATGCTGTACTGTTTGTTGTTCGAGTCGACAAGTATGTCCTGTTTCATCTGAAGTCTCTGATAGCCGTCGAAGTCGGGGGTGCCGGCAATGACCTTGAGTGCCGTACCCAAAAAATTCAAGCTTCGTGCTTGCCGGTGGTGAATCGACGGTTCGCAGCAGTGTTTCGATGTGTTTAATATCTCCGTCGAGAAGCACTCCCATATGCGACTCAAGGAATAAATTAATTAGATCCTTAGTCTCATCGTTCATTGTTTCGTATAGCGTCATGTTAGTGAAGTGTGTCAAGTATCCGTAATGTTCCCATACTATCGCCTCCCCGTCTACAAATGGGATGTAGTTGGCGCCAGTATAGTCTGTGAGTTTTTCAGTCAAAGTGTTTGTCGTCAGGAATGCCAATATTATTATCCTGTAATTAAAGAAAGATAGCAATTAGTGACTGGGTCTCTCAAGTGGGCCGAA